CCCAAGAATCAGCAACTTAATAAAAATGCAGTAAATTAGCACCTCTAGACAAGAGCAGAGTTCATTCAGAGCTGGGGTCTGCCTGGCTGAGCCAGTACTCTCTCCATTTTAATAGTTTAATAAAAATTAGCATAATTAACGAACATCTGTATGATCCAGAGTGGTGCAATTTGGCACTTGGAAACGAGGGCTTAAACATGATTGCTGTGAGTTTAATGTTGTTTTAATTCTTTTTGGCACTGTGCAGTGAAATAAACGTTTGGTGGTGATAGTTCTCGGCCGGATCTCATTTGCATTTTTCTCCCTTTGATTATGAGCAATTGTGGACTCCCCAGCAATTCATCAAAGTAGAAATTATTTTAAAATACCTCGTGGTGTTCAGACTGGGTTGGAGCAATGCATGGGAGGTGGTAGTGGAAGAGGAGGCTAGAAATTTTCCATTCATGCTTTAAACATCTTAGCCCTGCAGCCCTTTTTGGGTTTCCAGCCAAGGGATGAAATCTGGAAAAGCCAGTCAGATCCCAAGACCTGTAGGTGCTTTGATTAAGCTCCTAGGCTCCCACAGCAGGGTACTTACGGGCTCTGAGACTGTGCCATCCTCCTTACACCCTGCCCGCTCTTTTGTTTTGAAGGGCAGAGAGTTGATTTCACTCATTTCGGTTCTCGGCGCTGTGGTGGGGCTTCTACATCTGCGGTAGGCAGGGTCAGTGTTCCCCTCGAGCAAGAGCACTCGGACTGGGAGCCTGGTCTCTTTGCAGGTGTCCTGCTGAGCCTCATTCTGCTGCGGGTTGGCAGAGAGCACCTTCCCAAGCCTTGGCCCCTGCTCCCGGCCTTACGGCTAAAGGCCGATGCTAAGAAGCATGAGTCCAAGTCAGGAGTCTTGAACAGTCCCTAGGGAGGGAATGCCCTGCCTGAGCCCCTCAGGTGATAAAGATGACGCCATATGGCAGGTGGAAGACCACACTTCACACCTGTTTCAGCAAGTTGACTTTGGTCAGGAGGCTATCAGACAGCACTGTGCCCACTGTCTGCCTGTGAGGTAGCAGAAGAGCTAAAGCTAGGGTTTGTGTGAGTGCAAGAGGAGGACAGAGTGTCTCCCCCTCACAGCAAGGCTTTGTGGAAATGGCGTGCCAGCAACATGCTAAGCAAAAAGTAACACCACAAGGAAACTAGGGCAGAAACTGCCTTCTTAACTTCAGTGTTGGAAAATGGACAATAACATAACTTGTACAGAGACGAGCTTCAAACATCGTGGCGGACAGAGGCTGAGGAGCTCTGGGTAATTTCCCACAAGATAGTGTGTAGGGAGAGGTTGGCCTGGGGGAGGAAGGGAACGAGAAGGTGTGTGGAGACAGTGGGCTGGGCGATAGACACATTCATTTATTTTAGACGGGCTCTTCAAAGGTAAATTCTTTGTTCTTTTTAGGATCAACCCAGTCTCACTTGTTATGGCATGTGAGCCCCTCTCCATGGTATTTAGGGAACCATTTGGGGAAACTGTCTCCAGAGGCAGTTGCGCTCTTCCTGCCACAGCCAGTTCAATCACCAGGGGACTATCCTGGAGTTGGTTGTAACTAAATCTGCTCAACTGAAAGAATAAATCTCCCTTCATTTCTTCATAACTTCATTTAACAAGTATTTTTTGGCCCCTCTCTGTGCCGGATACCATGCTGAGTGCTGGGAGTAGAACAGCACACAAAACCAACAAAGTTCCAGCTCTCACAGAACTTTCCACCTAGTGATTGGCAGTGAGACAAAGGCAGGCAGCTAGCTACAAGGCAGCTTGATGAACTCATTTCCAGGGAAGCCCAGGGCATAGTACACAGTACATAGTACACAGTACATAGCCCCACACAGAGAGTGGCAAAGAGAGGCTTCCAGAGAGTCTAGAGAAACACCGGAATTGAGATCTGAAGCTGCTTAGGAGTGAGCCCCATGAAAGGGAGAAAGGAAGTAGAAGCTAAACAAGCAGAGGAACAGCTGTAAGGTAAGAGGGCCCGTGGCCTGTGGGAGTTGCCGAGACAAATTCTGTTTTACTAAGGGTCCACTCGTTTTACGGGGTAGATAACAATTTTGAGCAGTGAACAGGACCAGGTTGTGCACAGCCTTGTCCACCTTAGGAAGACATTGACAAGAAGCAATGGGAACCCACTTAAAGGTTTCAAGCAGAGCAGTGATTTTATCAATGTGCATTAGAATTATTCTGGCTGCAGAATGAAGGCAGGCTAGACTGGAGGCGAACAAGAATGGAGATACAGATACCCGTTGGAGGTTGTTTCTGTAGTCCTCATGAGAAATGGCAGTGCCATGACTAGGATACTGGCAATGGGAATGGAGAGAAGTCGGTAGATTCCAGTAATACTCTGAAAACAGAATCAGCAGAACTCAAGGACTGACTGGAAGAAAAGGTGCACCTGGGAATGAGTCTTGAGTTCCTGATTTGATTAACTGAGTGCATGGTGCTACCATCCACCAAGATGGAGAACACAGGAGGCAAAGCTGGCTGGGAGTAGGAATGGAAATAGAGGCAGGCTGATGGGTTAAATTTAGGATATGTTGAGTTTGAGCAGCTTGATGGACATGACTTGGGTATTATGATCCAGTGCTTAAATCTGGGCTGGAGTCATGGTTGTGAGTCCTTGACACGGTGGCTAAAGCAGAGGTATATGAGATTGCTCAAGGAAAGTACATCAAGTCAGAAGAGGGCCAGGACAGAATGCTGGAAACAACCACATCCAAAGGAAGGATAGAGAAAGATGAGCTTGCAAGGGAGAATGAGAAGAAGCAACCAAAGAGGTAAGAAGGAAGCCTGGAGAGTATATTTATCATAAAAACTAAGTAAAGAAAATGCCTCATTCTTGAGGGTCCATAGTGCCAGCATGGCTGAGAGGTCAAGCAAGTTAAGGACTGAGAAGTATCATAGAACTTGAGCAATAGGGGATCCCTGGGTGGCTCAGTGGTTTCACGCTTGTCTTAGGCCCAGGGCGTGATCCTGGAGTCCTGAGATCGAGTCCCACGTCAGGCCCCCGGCATGGAGCCTGCTTCTCTCTCTGCCTTTCTCTCTCTCTCTCTCTTTCTCTCTCTCTCTCTCTCTGTCTGTCTCTCTCTATCATGAATAAATAAATAAATAATCTTTTAAAAAAAGGATTAAAAAAAAAAAGAACTTGAGCAATAGGAGGTTACAGGAGACTGTGGAGAAAAAGTGTAGGTGGAGTGATAGAAGCAGAAGCCTGAGTAGAATGGCTTGAAGATGGACTAGAAAGCAAGAAGTTGGGGTGGAAAGTGAAGTAAACTCTTTCAGTAAGTTTGACCATGAATTAGCATAGATCAGTAGAAATGGGAAGTAGGCAGGCAGTGGGGACCGTTTAATCATTGTTTCCAAAGACAAAAGAAACTTAAACACATTTCATGCTGAAGGAAAGAGCCATTTACATTAGAGGCAGAAGTCAGACTCCATAGAACCTCACCCCTAAGAAATAAAGAAAGTGGAAGGGTTACAAGGGCATGTCACTAGGGATAGTCTTCAACCGTAGCCATGTGACCTTATGCTCTCCCAGCTTTGAGTTCCTCTTCTGGAAGAGTGGAGATAATATCATCTCTTCCCTATGTTGTGGGGATATAAATGTCTGATGCATAGTAGATGCTCTAAACATTAGATTCTTCCCCCAGAAGAAGTGGGAGGTTGACAAGGTCATCAGTAATGACAAGCAGGACATAAGAGCGCACATGATGCTCTTATGTACGCTTGATGAGAGTTTTAACCAGAGGAGGGACACCTCCTCCACTTTAATGGGAAGCAGGGGTGGTTGTCCATACAGGTAAGTTCCTATTTTGGTGGCTGAAGGTTGACACATCTGAAGTCTTTTCGTTTTGAAGATGGAAAAGGGGTCATCGGCTAGGCTGGGGGGACAGCAGAGCTGGAGGTGGGGAGATACGCTATCCAGAAGAAACCAGGTGACTTGAAATTTTATTATGCCACCAACCTTTTTTCTTTCTCTTTTTTTTTTCCTAGTAGAATTCAACAACCAAGTGTGTAAAAAGATAGTTAGCTTCATGGTACCCCAAATCCAGTTGAACTGGAAAACATGATATCCCCTATTTATTCCTAAATTTTACTTCCTTCAAAAGAAAGAAAATATTTTCTGGTGCTTTCAGAAGCAGTCCCATAATGTTTACAGCTGCTGTGCTTTTGAAAACCATTTCTGTATTCAAGGCGCCCCACTCCCAATCCTGTGACCACCCCTTCTTTACACCTTCTCATTCCCTCTCTTATTTGTTCCTTTCTGAGGCTCTTATGTCCACCTGTCACTACTGTGTACCTATCAACCTCTCACCTTTTCTGGGGGAAGAATCTAATGTTTAGCCTACCTACTATGCATCAGACATTTATATTCCCACTACATAGGGGAGAGATGACATCCCTACTCTTCCAGAAGAGGAAGTCAAAGCTAGGAGAGTGTGAGGTCACACAGCTAGTAAATGACCAAGTGGGGATTGGATCCCAGGCTGTCTGACTCCAAAGCCCATTACTCTCTGCTATAAGCTCCTAGGGAGCAAGCGATGCTCTGATTCATCATTATAGATCTCATGGGAACTCAAACAGCACTTTGCACATAGAAGATGCTTGGTAAATATTATTGATTTGAACTATGACCTGACTCCCTGAATATCTTTAGTGCTCTGGTATTTAGGATGTGCCCAACTTTCTCAGAAGAAGCCATTCTACTCTGCTTGATAAAAGACAGGCTCTTTAGGTTCAGCAATAGCACCAAATGTACTAGATTTAAAAGGGAGACAGGAAGACGGCAAAATGAAAGTAGAGTTTGCTTTCCTCCTCTAGAAGATTTTTTTTAATGTAATAATCCCGTCAAGGTGTTAACAAGTCATAATGATAGTGTTGACAAAGAAACCACCCAACAGAATCTCCCCTGCAATCACTGTAAGAGATTAATGGAAACATGATTGGATTCCAATTAAACCGTCATCTTTTCATATTTCAGGAGTATAACATGTATGGCTGGTGGGTAGGAGAACTGAACAGCCTCATTGGGATTGTTCCAAAGGAGTATCTCACCACTGCCTTTGAAATGGAAGAAATATGAAGCCCAGGTATCAAAACTATTGCCAATAAATCTGTTGGTCATGCCTTCATTTCTCTGTGAAGGATGAGAGTTGCCAGTGAAGTGGCTTTTCTTCACTTCCAAAAGTGATGCTCGTGATTTACATTGAAAGACGATGAGGCTGGAATTGTTTTTCCTAAATTGGGGAACTATGTGAGTAAGGATTAGGTTCAACTGCATGTGAAAGAAAACTCAAAATAGCAATAATTTAATTAACATAGAAATTTATTTTTCTCTTCTGAAAAAATCTGGAGGTAAATAACCCAAGGTATTCAGTTTTTGGATATCTTCTCTTTTTGCTCCACTGCGTGTGGCCAACATTCCAAAGCTTACATTATGGCCCAGGATGAATGCTCCAGCTCCAGCTCTCATGTCTGTACCCTACCCAGCAGGAAAGATAAAATGAAAGAAGGGCATACCCGCTTGTTTTAAGGACATTTCAGAGATGTTGCACACATCACTGCTTACATTCCATTGGCCAGAACTTGGACAGACAGATAGACTTATTCTAGGTAGAACCTGTGTCCAGATTAAAAGTGGAGCGGGGAAAGGATTCATTAATAAATAAAAACAGAAGGGACGCCTGGGTTGCTCAGCAGTTGAGCGTCTGCCTTCAGCTCAGGTCATGATCTCGGGGCCCCAGGATGGAATCCCGCATCAGGCTCCCCGCAGGGAGCTGCTTCTTCTTCTAACTATGTCTCTAATGAAAATGAATAAATAATCTAAATAAATAACGGAAGAATGGATATTCAGGAACAACTAGGAATTTCTGCCACAAGGATGGGTCTGGTTTTCTTTATCCCCAGCTCTCAAATAAAGAGCACTATTTCTCCCAAATGCCCATGTATTACCATATGATTGGCCAAAACTAGGAATCCAGTATGAGGATTCCCATGGAACATAATCAAATTAACTTTTAGGTAATAAAGAGTATGGCAAAAATAAAAATAAAAATAAAAAATAAAGAGTATGGCTTGTGTTTTCTGAGCAAGAACCACATCATATTTAAAACAGTGGAGTGTAAAAACAAAAAAAATAATAAATAAAACAGTGGAGTGAGTACTTGCTTTGGGTGGGGTTGCAATAGGAGTTGCTTTGGTGCACAGTGGTTTTTGGTTAAAATTAGGATGGTGATGGAGGGCACCTAAGGCTAGCATGATGTCTCTAGCTCCTTCTTCTGGCCTAAAATGGGAACAGCCTTTATTGCTGGGGGTGAAGAATGACTTGCATGACCGTGATACAAACTCGCCTTGGAATCTTGCAGACCAGGGCCCACTATAGTGTGCAGCAGCCCTGAGTGGATTCATTTAGGAAGGTATGTAAGTAAAGATCTTACTCTGCGATATCCTTGTACAACCATAAAGCGCCAGCTGAGGCCTGTTGCTCAAGGTTTGACTTTATGACTTTCCTGATGAGGACTCCTTTTCCTGGCCATAAAGGCAAAAGGGTTGGAATTTTTCTGTCAAATCTAAACATATTCACTCTACTTCACTTTGTCATTTATTTAATGACACAGCTGTTTATTTCCTCATTCTCTTTGATCCAACCATTCTACATCTAGGAATTAATCCTATAGCTACACTTACACACATGCAAAAGGATATACACACAGGGCACCCAGCTGGTCAGTTGGTGGAGTGTATGACTCTTGATTTCAGAGTTGTGAATTTTGAGCCCCATGTTGGGTGTAGAGACTACCCAAAAATAAAATATTTTTCTTTTAAAGTTTTTATTTATTTATTCATGAGAGATACACAGAGAGAGGCAGAAACATAGGCAGAGAGAGAAGCAGGCTCCCTGAGGGGAGCCCAGTGTGGGACTTGATCCCCAAATCCCCGGGATCATGCCCTGAGCCAAAGGCAAACACTCAATTGCTGAGCCACCCAGGCATCTCCCAAAAATAAAAGTTTAAAAGAAAAGGATATACACACAAGGTTACTTTATAATAGCAAACCACTAGAAATGACCTAAATGTTCAGTAAAGACCTAGCCAAATAACCATAGTATGTTCATAGAATTAAATACTATGTAACAGTAAAAAATTAAAGGAAGCTCTCTGCACTGATGTTGGTAAGAAAAAATAAAAAGGCAGCAAATAAGGGTAGGCCTAATTTGTTCCATTTGTGTGAAAAGGGAGTCTCCAGGGGCGCCTGGCTGGCTAAGTCCATAGAGCATGCAACTCTTCATTTCAGGGTCATGAGTTCAAGCCCCATGTTGGGTGTAGACTTTACGGGGGCGGGTATAGGGGGAGTCTCCAGTTGTTTCTGTGTGTAGATGATATCTCTGGAAGGGCAGAGACAATAGAAGTGATTGCATGACTGTGAGGGTGGGAGGGAGACACTCTTTAATTTGCACCCTTTTATACCATTTTTTCTTGAATCATAAGAGCAAACCTATGTATTTTCCCTCCTTCAGGAGACATAGCCTAGTCTCTGGCCTGCCTTTACAGAGAAACTGATCATCAGGAGTTCCTATTCCCTACGCCAGCCACCCCACCAACACCAGGGACTCTTCTTACTGAAGAGATCCAAGCCTCTGACAGCTTGTAGTAACTGAAACGCGCCAATAAGACAAGTGGGAAAGGCAGTCAGCAGGTCATAGCTCAGCCCACCTTTGTTTTTTCATCCCACCTTTAAACGTGTCTCACATCCACTTCTGCTTTCTCCACAGCCTTGTCACAGAGAAGGTGAGAGACAAGGAAACCTTCAGAGGAGGAAGTTGTGAGCTGTGTCGGCTGATTTGAAAAGCGTAAATAAACTTCATATTCGGTTCCCAGCAGTGTGTGATAGTGTCCAATTTCCTTATGTAGTGTTCTCAAAAATGCTGGTTCCAGGCATTCTTGCCACCTCCAGACAAAGTAGAAAAGGAAAGCCAGAGAGGAACAAAACCCCAGACAGAGGAGGGGACTTGGATGATCTTTCAGGGCAGAATCATCTCTGGAACCCAGGCCTGCCTGCTTCTGGTTGGCTTCTCAGACTCCCTTTGGCTGCCTATTTGGTGGTTTTTCCTTCTGTGCTGAATCTCTGAGATGAGGCAGCCCCTGGCGTCAGCACATTGGAGAGTTCCTTCGGTTCAAACAGCGGGCCGGCGCGGGAAGTGCTTCGGGGAGGGCTTCTGCGAATCAGCCCGGTTCCTCTTCCTGTGGTCTGTACCTCGCACTCGCGTTAACTGTGTCTTAAAGAGACGACAAGACAGAGTGGTTAAGGACATAAATTCTAGGGAAGGGAGAAGAAATGTGTGGGAAATATCAGAAAGGGAGACAGAACATAAAGACTCCTAACTCTGGGAAATGAACTAGGGGTGGTGGAGGGGAGGAGGGCGGGGGGTGGGGGTGAATGGGTGACGGGCACTGAGGGGGACACTTGACGGGATGAGCACTGGGTGTTATTCTGTATGTTGGTAAATTGAACACCAATAAAAATTAATTTATTTAAAAAAAGGACATAAATTCTGGAAGCAGACAGCCTGAGAATGAATCCCAGTTCCCCATTTACTATGTATGCTCTCTAGAGCAAGCTACTTGACATTTTATGCCTCAATTTCCTCACCTTAGGAAGGGTGTAGTCCATTTCACTGGGTCGTTAGGAAGATTAAAGAGTCAACACGTGTAACGCACTTGGCACAATGCCTGGTGCATAGTAACTGCTCAGTAAGGGTTAGCTGTTATGATGGCCAGATTCGCTAGGCGAGAAATCTTGAAAAATGGGCCACTAAGCAGCTATAGAAATTTTATCTATGAAACTGCCTATTCAGAGCCGCCCTCAGTTGGCAGTAGCCTTTCTCACCTCTGTAACAGCCACATTCTAGCCCTGCAGTAAGACACCCATTCCACATTGCCAAAAGAAACGGGGCGGCAAAGTAGGATGTTGGCTGTGCACTCCGAGTTTCTCAAAAGATTTTATGCCAGCCGTTCATTTCCAGATTTTTCTGACCCAGGAGTTTAAAAAAAGAGGCATTTTTTTTTGTGTGATTAATAAAGAAGTAAGAAGAGGACAACTGAGGTCTAGGAGGGGAAAAAATGAGATAAAAGGCTGGAACTGTTCATAATGTGCCCTCCACTTTACACGCGGTGCTAAAGGAGACTGAACCACTAGGTGGCAGCACATGAGCAGATGAACCAAGAACAACCACTTGCCTCCCCTTTTAGGAGGGGCCTTTGCACCAATCCCCAACCTACAGGTAAGGAAAGGGCATTGTTCTAAAGCCTCTAGCAAGGGAAGCAATCAGAAAGACCCTCACCCCCAAGCCCCAGAGTGTTCCCTCCCTTAAAGAACCCCCAGGGGCCCAAGGCTGGAAGGCTGGTGGCTAAGAGGAGAGAAGAGCTTTGTGCCACTGCTCCGTGACTGTGAGACACCAGAAAAGGGGCTACCAGGAGAGGAGGGGCAGGTGTCCCAGGCAGGGTCAAAGGGGGATGAGAAAGGAGCAAGGTCGGGGTACCCTCTCCACTCGCTGTTGGTTCAGGGATCCCTCAGTAGTGTCATGCTCATTGGCTTCCAGAACTTAAAACAAATCCCTCCTGAAGCTGCAGGCCCGTGTGTACCTACAGCATTCACCATTCTGTGAAGGTCTTTGGCACCTCCATCAACTAAAGGGTAGGCACTCAGACCTCCAACCCTCTAGCTGTGAAACCCAGCAGGGAGAGAAACTAGATTGGCCTTGGAAGATATAAACGAATGGACTAATCTGGAATTGGGTCCATAGCCATCTGGCGATCTTTAACATTGTTGGAGGCAAGAAAAAGATAAAAGTCCGATGGGTTGATAAGACTATCTACAGGCTGAAGGCCATTCTCTTTTAGGAGAAAGTTCGAAAGGAAACCTTTTGGAAGCGGCAGTGGGTGCCTGTAGTCTGCCTGAAGCTAAGCCTCACCTAGCAAAACTGTTCCCCACGCAATTGACAGCCCCAATTTTAACCAACAGCCTCAGAAAGCAACTGGACAGATTACCTCTTCTCTGTTTGACTCCACTAACCAAATCCCCACCTTACTGCCTGTGACTAACTGGATAACCAGGGCATTAGATCACTTACCTAACCACACCATATGCGAGATGGCTTCTTAATAGCCACTAATTGCTCTGGCAGGTGGAATAGGAGAGGGAGGCTTTTATCCTTCCCTGGTTTTATATAAAGGTAGGAAAATAAGAAAGGTAAGTTCCTAAATTTAAGAACCAAATGTAGAGGGGTGCCTTGGTGGCTCAGTTAAGCGTCTGACCCTTGGTTTTGTCTCAGGTTGTGATCTCAGGATCAGAATCTCAGGGTCGTGAGTTGGAGCCTGGAGTGGGCTGTGTGCTCAGCAGGGAGTCTGCTTGAGATTCTTTCCCCATCCTTCTCCCTTTCCCACTGCCCCTCCCCCTCTGTTCCTCCACCGCTTACCCCCTGCTCATGCCCTCTCTCTCTCTCTTTCTCTCAAATAAATAAAATCTATTAAAAAAAAAAAAACAGCAGCAAATGTACAGGGGCACCTGGCTGGCTGTTGGTGGAGTAGTGACTCCTGATCTCAGGGTTTTGGGCTTGAGCCCATTAGATGTAGAGATTACTTAAAAAATAAAACCTTTCAAAAAAAAAAAAAGAAGCAGCAAATGTATATCTGCCTTTTACAGATAAATAATAATTTATGGAGAGCTTACTGACACCCACTGGATAACCAGACCTGGGGCTGGTACAGTTCAGCCTGCGTTGTCCAAGCTGATGACTGAAAATACCAAATACTCTGAAAGCAGTCTTTCAGCTGCATTTCATTAACAATATGGTTTTCCCAGTGTTTTCTCTGTCATCCATATAGCAAAATAGCATAGGCATTGTTTTGCAGTCACCTCAATATTAAGTTTTTCTCATACTGTTCTCTCTCAATTTGTATTTAAGTCAAAACTGACTACACCTTGTCCTCCGGCGAATAAAAATGAGAATGAGAAGGGCACTCCTGGTGCATCTCTTTCCCTAAGGCCAGTTAGAGTCCATGTAAAGTGGGAGCAAGGCCCAAAGGTGGAACCGACTCGATGTCCGCCCTCCCGTTCAAGGCGGATACTTGATGTAAGCATAGCATGTAAGGAGCTGCCTAAATTCCAAGTTACCAACCACTTCTTTTAGCCCTTCAGTTTGCTCAGTGGCACCACCTCACTTGTCACCTGTCATTGCAAGTGGCAAAGCTGAGCATCTGAAAGGTGTTAGTTTGGACAAAAATCACACAAAATCTGCCAGGGAAGAGCACATGCGATGGAGGACTCTGGAAACTGCCGCTTTGCTTCTTCCATCACTCGCATTGTGCTGCAGTTAGACCCCTCTGGTGATACATTTTCAAATTCTGACACTCTGTGCCAGTCACTTGTGTCACAGTAAAGTAGTGGTGTCTATGCAAAGAGCAGGATAATGCAATGCTAGTGGGGGGGGGGGTGGCAAAGATGATACACTCCTGCCTTTCAAAACCTGTTTGATGGGGCCCCTGGGTGGCTCAGTTGTTTGAATGTCTGCCTTTGGCTCAGGTCGGTCCTTATCTTAAGGTCCTGGGATGAGCCCTACATCGGGCTCTCTGCTCAGCGGGGAGACTGCTCCTCCCTCTCCCTCTGCCTGCCCCTTGCTCATGCTCTTTCGCTCTCCTTCTCTCTGTCATATAAATAAATAAAATTTTTTTAAAAATGGTTTGAGGAAAATGGAGTTGAAGAGAAGCAAGAAAGAAAAACAAAAGAGGGGATCCCTGGGTGGCACAGTGGTTTAGCGCCTGCCTTTGGCCCAGGGTGCGATCCTGGAGACCCGGGATCGAATCCCACGTCGGGCTCCCGGTGCATGGAGCCTGCTTCTCCCTCTGCCTATGTCTCTGCCTCTCTCTCTCTCTCATGTGACTATCATAAATTTAAAAAATTAAAAAAAAGAAAAACAAAAGAGAAGCCAAAGTATGTTTTTTTGCTGTGTGTTTTTGTTTTTTCATTTGAAGAACAGAACTCTCAGATGCCAGGAACAGAGGTGCCTTCATCTTTGGCCACAGAGAAACCCTCCCCATAGGTCTCCCCACCAGGAGAGGCTCTGGAAGGATAAATCTTATGTGGCATTGATGGGCTAATACCCAGAGCACCAGCAAAATCTGTGGAGCTGACTTTAGAGAAAGCAGCTGTCTACACAGAGGATTATCCCCGCTGCACAGCTGAGTGACTCGGACTCATTTTCTAGCCGTGGATCACCAGAGTCCCTTGCTCCTCCCTCTTCCCCCCTGCCCGGCAAGCTCCTGTCCCTGTAGAATTTACAGTCACTGGGTTGGGAGTTTCAAACTTACCACTAAAAAAAAATAGATTTTTCCTTCTTCAAGGGATTCAAATTATGTTCCCCATTCCCCTCTCAAAAACTGTTCAGAAAACATGGCTGTTTTGTTGGGTGGGGGCCGGGGAGGTTGTTGTCATGAGTACAAATCAATGATCATTCTTTGGCAACTCTTTAGGATCCAATTAATGACACATTTTAAGACATAGGCCATTTTGTTTGGTTTTTTTTTTAAGATTTTATTTATTTATTCATGAGAGACACACAGAGAGAGAGGCAGACAGAAGCAGAGGGAGAAGCAGGCTCCAAGCAAGGAGCCCGACGCAGGACTCGATCCCCGGTCTCCAGGATCACGCCCTGGGCCAAAGGCAGGAGTTAAATCGCGGAGCAAACCAGGGATCCCCACATAGGCCATTTTGTACAAAAATCTTTTATAAATGCAATGCCTCCACCCCGAACAAAACTATTTTATTAGAGGAAACAGGTAGAATTAGTAGGGTGACCATATCATTTCTCTTCCAGAGACACTTCTGAGACTGAAAGGGGGAGTCACTGATAACTGATG